GAGTACGATTTTGTTTGGATTTTTTTTCTTCAAAATTTTAGATATAAGAAAATAACATATCTTGAAATTCTCAACCCTATGTTGAGCTGCTGATAGGGTGCACTCCCGAGTTTGCAAATCTCCCCTTCGATTGGAAATGCTCTCATTATTTTTTAAAGACATCTCCGCTCAGATTAAGACATCTCGTATCTTTTTGATTTTCGAGTATGGCGATTTTTATTATTTTGATTTTTTTTTCAAAAGTTTTGGATATTAGAAAATAACAGAACTTGAAAATCTCAACCCTATGCTGATGTGCTGACAGGCTGCACTCACGTGAGGTGATGTCAAAATACTAGGATTTAAACATAAACTAACCGGCTTTGAATTTCTCAGTCGTATAGTGAGGTGATGCTTGCAAGTCTGGCCTCAACTTTTATCTGCTCAAGTTCTTGTGGTTTTTAAGATATGGCAGTTATTTTAATTTTTATCGTTCAAAAAAACTAAATATAAAAACTAACAGAGTTTGAATTTCTCAACCCTTTAGAGACATGCTGTCCCGAAAAGTTCAGGAGTTACAATTTTCCGCTCGGTTTAAGAGATCTGGAAACTTTTCGGTTGTCGAGTACGATTTTGTTTGGATTTTTTTCTTCAAAATTTTAGATATAAGAAAATAACATATCTTGAAATTCTCAACCTTATGTTGAGCTGCTGATAGGGTGCACTCCCGAGTTGGCAAATCTCCCCTTCGATTAGAAATGCTCTCATTATTTTTTTAAAGACATCTCCGCTCAGATTAAGACATCTCGTATTTTTTTGATTTTCGAGTATGGCGATTTTAATATTTTTGATTTTTTTTCAAAAATTTTAGATATTAGAAAATAACAACTTGAAAATCTCAACCCTATGCTGATGTGCTGACAGGGTGCACTCACGTGAGGTGATGTCAAAATACTAGGATTTAAACATAAACTAACCGGCTTTGAATTTCTCAGTCGTATAGTGAGGTGATGCTTGCAAGTCTGGCCTCAACTTTTATCTGCTCAAGTTCTTGTGGTTTTTAAGATATGGCAGTTATTTTAATTTCTATCGTTCAAAAAAACTAAATATAAAAACTAACAGAATTTGAATTTCTCAACCTTTTAGAGACCTGCTGTCCCGAAAAGTTCAGGAGTTACAATTTTCCGCTCGGTTTAAGAGATCTGGATACTTTTCGGTTGTCGAGTACGATTTTGTTTGGATTTTTTTTCTTCAAAATTTTAGATATAAGAAAATAACATATCTTGAAAATCTCAACCCTATGTTGAGCTGCTGATAGGGTGCACTCCCGAGTTTGCAAATCTCCCCTTCGATTGGAAATGCTCTCATTATTTTTTAAAGACATCTCCGCTCAGATTAAGACATCTCGTATCTTTTTGATTTTCGAGTATGGCGATTTTTATTATTTTGATTTTTTTTTTCAAAAGTTTTGGATATTAGAAAATAACAGAACTTGAAAAGCTCAACCCTATGCTGATGTGCTGACAGGGTGCACTCACGTGAGGTGATGTCAAAATACTAGGATTTAAAAATAAACTAACCGGCTTTGAATTTCTCAGTCGTATAGTGAGGTGATGCTTGCAAGTCTGGCCTCAACTTTTATCTGCTCAAGTTCTTGTGGTTTTTAAGATATGGCAGTTATATTAATTTTTATCGTTCAAAAAAACTAAATATAAAAACTAACAGAATTTGAATTTCTCAACCCTTTAGAGACCTGCTGTCCCGAAAAGTTCAGGAGTTACAATTTTCCGCTCGGTTTAGGAGATCTGGAAACTTTTTGGTTGTCGAGTACGATTTTGTTTGGATTTTTTTTTCGTCAAAATTTTGGATATAAGAAAATAACATATCTTGAAATTCTCAACCTTATGTTGAGCTGCTGATAGGGTGCACTCCCGAGTTGGCAAATCTCCCCTTCGATTAGAAATGCTCTCATTATTTTTTTAAAGACATCTCCGCTCAGATTAAGACGTCTCGTATCTTTTTGATTTTCGAGTATGGCGATTTTTATTATTTTGATTTTTTTTGAAAAGTTTTGGATATTAGAAAATAACAGAACTTGAAAATCTCAACCCTATGCTGATGTGCTGACAGGGTGCACTCACGAGTTGCATATCTCCCCTTTAACAAAAAACGAATTTATAGAACTATCAGAATTTGAAATTCTCAACCACATGGTCGGGTGCTGTCAGGGTAAATTCACGGTTCCTGTCAGGGCTTGCAAACCGGGCGCCAGTTTGTGCTATTCAATTTCTTTTTGATATCTGAGATCGGCGTTTTCTATGATCGTTGAAAAGCAAAATTCGATTTAAGATTGAAAATTAATAAAACTTTGAGTTATCGACCCTATAGTATGATGCTATCATTCTAAACTTCAGGAATTTCATTTCCGCCCTCCTAACAGGACTGCTCAAATCGTTTGCTTTTCGAGAAGGCCTTTTTAGTTTTTTTTTACTTCTCGAGATTTTGTTTTTGATAAAAATTTCTGGTTTGAATTTTAAAAAAACTAACCGATCTTGAGTTTCTGAGCCCTATGGTAGTTGCTGTCAGTGTAGTTCATGGGGTACTGTCAGAATTCACCTAGCAGTTGCAACTCTCTTCGCTGGTTAAGACTGCTCGAGTCTTTTTGGTTTTCGATATATAGCAGTTTTTATTGTTTTTTCGTTTTCTTTCGAAAAACTAAGATATAAAACAAGCTAACCGATTGTGAAATTCTCAGTCTAACGGCGGAATACTGTAATACAGTTTCAGTTGTTCCCCTGTGGCATCTAAATTTGAAAGCTCAAATCATTGCGGTTTTCAAGATATGGGAGTTTTTCTGATTTTTTCTTTCAAAATTTTAGACATAAAAAGTAACAGATCTTGAAATCCGAACCGTGTAGCGAGGTGCTGTCAGGTTGCACTCAGGAATCTCCTCTTTGAGTTAGACTGTTCGAATTTTTTGGCTTTGTGAGATGTGGCCATTTTTCTATTTTTTCAAACAACCCAGATGAAAAATACTGGTTTTGAAATTCTTAATCCCAGTGGGATGCTGTCAAAAATTTTCAGTGCTTGCAAATCTGGACTCGATATAGAAGGGACTAAACGATTTTGGAATTCTCAATTCTTCAATGGCATGCTTTCATACAATTTTTGGTGCTCGAGAATCTGGCCACTAAGTTTGATTGCTCAAATCCTTCTGGTTGTCGAGATATGGCGATTTTTTTTTATTTTTTGGCAGTTTCAAAAATCTTTAGAAAAAAACTACGCTACCTTGAATTTCTCAACCCTATGGTTTATAGCTGTTTCTGTCTGGGTAATTTTAAGGGTTTTGTCAGAGTTCACTCAGAAGTTGCAAATATCCCCCTGTTTAAGACTGCTCGAGTTTTCGAGATATGGATTTCGAGATATGGCTATTTAAATGATTTTTCATTTTCTATTTCAAATAACTTAGTTATAAAAGATCTATCAGAACTTGAAATGTTCAATCATACGGTCGGGTGTTTTCAGTGTTCATTCAGAGTTGATGTAAAGGCCTGCAAATCTGGCCTACTATTTTTGCTGCTCAAGTGCTTTTGGTTTCTGAGATCGGCGTTTTCTTATGATTTTTCGAAAATAAAAGTCCAAGTCCAGGGTGAAAACTAATGAAATTTTGATTTCTTGACCCTGTAGTGTGGTACTATCAGTTTTCTCTCCAGAACGTGTGTTTCTGTTTTCCAGCCATGACTGCTGAAATCCTTTTTTTCCAGATCGGAGTTTTCAAAAAATTCCTGGTTCGAATTAAAAAAAAACCTAACCTGTCTTGAATTTCTGAGCTCTATGGTAGGATAATTCAGGGGTACTGTTAGAGTTCAACCAGGAGTTGCAAATCTCTTCTCTGAGTAAGACTGCTCGAGTCTTTTTGGTTTTCGGGATATGGCAGTTTTTTCTCTATTTTTTTTTCGTTTTTGAAAAAAAAAAACAATATATAAAACAGCTAACCGATTGTGAATTTCTCAATCCAATGGCGGGATACTGTCATACAACTTGCGTACCTGGCCTCTAAATTTGGTGGCTCAAATCCTTGTGGTTTTCTAGATAGGCAGTTTTTTTTTATCAAAACATATATATAAAAACTAACAGATCTTGAAATCCGAATTGTTTAGCCAGGTGCTGTCAGGGTGCAATCCGGAACCTCTTCTTTGATTTAGACTGATCGAATCTTTTTGGATTACGAGGTATGACCATTTGTCTTTTTTTCATTTTTTTTCAAACAATCTAGATAAAAATACTAACTGATTTTGAAATTCTCAATTCGATAGTGGGATGCTGTCATGCAAGTTTTGGTGCTTTCGAATCTGGACTCTAAATTTGACGGCTGAAATTCTTGTGGTTTTCGAGATGGGGCGATGTTTTTGATTTTCTCAATTTTTTGATTAAAACTTTGATATGGAAGGCACTTAACAATTTTGAAATTCTCAATTATTTAATGGGATGCTTTCATACAATTTTCAGTGCTTGCGAATGTAGCCTATAAAATTGACTGCTCAAATCCATCTGGTTGTCGAGATATGGCGATTTTTACGATGTTTTCAATTTTTTCTAGACGCTTGGATATGAAAGAAATACCAGAACTTAAATTTCTAAATCATATGGCGAGGTACTGTCATGGTGAATTGATGGATCCTGTCAGGGGTTGAGCGTTTGGACTCGAAATTTCGCTGATCAAGTCCTTTTGGTTTCCTAGTTGGCGTTTTTTATGATTTTAAAAAAATAAAAATTCAAAGTCAGGTAAAAAAAACTAATGAAATTTGGAATTCTCGAGTCTATAATGTGGTGCTATCTGTTCACACTCCGGGAATCGCAATTCTGCCCTACAAACATGACTGCTCAAATTCTTTTGCTTTTCGAGATGAGCGTTTTATGATTTCTGTCGTTCCTATCGAAATTTATTCTTGACTTCAGTTTTTCATAATTTATATTGCAATACCCATTGTAATGATTTGTTAAACTTTTTGCCAGGGTAGTATAAAAGAGTTATGTCTTCTTCGTCCGGAGAGAGTGACGAAGAGGATTATGAGGTCGATAAGATCACAGGCCACAAGAGACAGGACGGGGAGTACGTATACAAGGTAAGAATTGTGATCAAATCTTTCTATTCGTTTGGTAAATTGTCAGTTAGATCAGTTCAAGTCTCTATATTCAAATCTCTCATTAATAATATATATTAATTGTTGTATATCGTATACATGGATCGTAATATATATCGTAGTATATATGAACATAAATTTCAATCGTTCGCGCCATTTTGGTGATTACTATTGATAAAAAGGCTCAATTGTGGTAGGTCAGGTGGAAGAATTACGGTAAAGACCAAGATACATGGGAGCCACAGTCGAATCTGGACAACTGCCAACAAGCGATAGATGAATACTGGCGAAGACGAAATGCGGAGAAGGAGAAAAAGCGCCAGGAAGATGAGGGAACAGCTGGAGGTGCAGTGATGCCCTTGACACCGCCGTCTACAACTGCAGCACCAGGTTAGGAGATATTGACTACGGCGGAGGCCACATCAAGTTGATACAAAAATGCACGTAATTCTTAACCGCAGCTGTTCACTGTAAAGAGCTGAGCTACTCATATATTTTTTTTCTTACCTTTGCGGAAAAGTGGTATAGTTCTCCCTGTTAGGACTCCATCAGTGTATTAAATAGCTAGTTCCGACTTTCGAAGAAAGTGACGGATTATGTGTGCTCGGGTAAGGCTTTTTCTCCAGTCATATTTGTATTTCAAACTAGCTTGTTTTAACCGGATTTTTGTTTATAAGTACTGCTCCCTTAAGCTTAAGTTGAAAAAGATATTTTATCTGTGACCATAGTAAGAACTTCATAGTCGAATTGTTGATAACGCTTGCGATTAGCAAGCGTTGTCAAATCAGAATACAGATTTTTTTATCGGATAAGCAACTAGTTAAGCAAAATGAATAATTTCTTCAGTTATCATTTGAGCTGCATTGAATTCCGCAGCAAACATGCTCAAACCCTTAAAATTCGAATTGAAATACTGGTTACGAAAACCAGTAGACGGCTAAGGCCCTAGCTCGAAACCGGTCAAGCACCTATTTTTTTAGACCCAAATTTTTTTTAGCATCAAGAATCATTCAAGCTTCAAGTCTCATTATGCTTTGTCGGTTTAGTTTTCACATTTTTTTCCTTTTGTGTGCTGTAAGCTATTTTTTTCTAATTAAAAGTGTGTCTAATTCTTTTATATAATTTTTTAAATGAGAAACTGACCTTGTCTAGTTTATTTTTCTTTTCGCTGAAACATTTGTTTTTTTTTGCTAAATGATTTCGGCTTATTTTTTATTGGCTTAGTGGCCTATATGTGAGTCGTTTCAATCGATAAATAATTTTTATGATCCCTTCTTGATCGCGCAAAATGCTTAAATTCGTCATTGAAGTTACGATTTTTAATGTTAACGTTTTTCTGGGCTTTTTCTATTCTTTTTTTTGCTTGATAGGTTTCGGCCATTTTTGAATCGGGATTATGACCTCACATTGCTTCTTTGCGAAAAATAACTGTATTTTTTGTGTGTGTGTTTTGAGGGTGAGAGGAAATTATTAACTTTTTAGTAGTCTTAGATTTCATATTTTTTCCTGCTTTTCGGCTGAATTGCTTCGGCCATAGTGGGCTCATATTGGTTCATTTGACGAGCAAACAAATTCTTGAGTGTGTTTGTGTTTTGAGGGTGAGAGGGATTTGATAGTTTTTTTTGAAAGTCTTAAGTCTTGTTGGTTTTTTTTCGGCTTTTAGGATTTCTGCTCCAGTATTTCTGGCTTTGTTACAGCTTGATAAACTTTTGTGCGACGCTAATTTCACATTCTTTTTCCTTGTTATGTTTTTTTTTAAAATCAAATTAAGCCTTATCCAATCTGATAGATCTAGTTTTTCTACTGTTTTTGTTTTTTTTCCAACTAAGCGGCTTTCTCGTTTTAAATCGCAAGTGATGCGAAGCTCAGCTTCGCCTCTAGGTCGGAAAGAGTTCTCACTTTTGTCTCAGTTTATGCTCCGCAACTTTGACCAACTGTAACATGCTCTTGCCAGGTGCTTTGACGAACTGTAAAATGCTCCTGCCAAGGTTCCAGGTTGTGAGATAATAACCCCGGTTGGCGACTGGAATAGACACGCAGGTAGTATCTGGAATTTGTTGTCGCCAACGGCCTTCGAGTCGGCAATACCAGGTTTAAGAAAGATTCCCACCTCATCACATAAATCTCGTGGGTGGCTACGCTACGTAGCTGGACTACGTACTCTCTCGCACATCTTATAGCAGTGCACTTTCTGACGTTGAAGTTATTGCCAATGAGGAATGCATAGTGAGGCGCTGTATCTATAGTGAGGCGCTGTCAGGATAATCTCAGGGGCTGCAATTTTTGTATCCAAATATGACTGCTGCAATCCTTGTAGTTTTCAAGATATGACGTTTTTTGTATTTCCTTTTTCCAAGTGCAATTACTCAAATGCTTTCACTTTCCGAGATATGACGTTTTTACGTCTTTTGAAAATTGTTCATAGAACAAATATAGATAAAGTTTTCACTAAGTTTGAAATTCCCATGTAAGTAGAGAGCCGTTGTCAGGCTACTCACTGGGGTTGCGAATCTCGCTTCTGAATATAACTGCTCAACTCTCTAGTTTTTGAGATATGATGTTTTTTATGGTTATTTTCGATGTTCAGAATTTCTGAACAAAAAATTGAAATTTAACTGAAGGTGGGTAATCTGAGGGTTTTTTCAGTAATTCATATCTTGCGTCCAATGCGACTGCTCAACTGGTATTAGTTTCCCAGATAAGATGTTTTTTGAGAACTTAACGAAAAAAACTCACAAAATTTGAAATTCCTTATCTTTTTGTGAAACTAAATTTAATTTCAGGGTACTGGCAAGTGTTCCAGTTTAACCTCTAGATATAAATGCTGAAATCTTAGTAGTTTCTCAGATACGACATTTCTTATGATTTTCTCGAAATTTTTCGGGAAATTTAGGTTAAAAAAAATCACGAAAATCGAAGTTTTCAAAGCTGTAATTTGGTGTTGCTATGGTTGTCTCAGGGGTCGCAAGTTGTTCCTCCAATTATGACTGCTAAAATCCTTTTATTTTCCATGGTTCGGAATTTTTTCATTTTTTGAAAAACTCGAATAAAAAAGAAATTAGCTTAAAAAACGAACTTTGAAATTAGCAACCAGGTTTGTGCTCTCAGGTGACTCTCAGTAGTTTTAAATTTTGCCTCCAAGTTTCTCCATAGGCTTCTCAAGTGTCCCAGCCTTGATGTTTTATGGTGTTTCAAAATTTGAGTTAAAAAGTTTTGAACTAAAAAATTTTGAAATTACTAACTGTACTTCGGTGCTGTCAGAGTACTCATAGGTTTCAGTTCTTGTTTTGAATGTAAGTCGTTTTTTTTACAAAAATTTCGAAGCGCCGGAGGTGCATTACACGGGAGTATGATTTAATGGTTGGAACACTTTTGTGGTGCTCAAAAGCAGAGGTGGAAAGGCGGTGGGACCACTACGCAAGTCCCTGCACTGAAAGGGAAGAGCGACAGGATATATTCATCGAAAGAATCAGGTCTTGGAGCCGGCGTGCTCACAATAGCTAAGCTGGGTAGATGAGGTTTTTTTAGTACAGCGCATCTGGGACAGAATCATTCTACTCAAATTCATGGTTGGAATAAGAATTATCTTTTGTGTCTCAGTTTATGCTCCCAAATCTAGCCTCCCCACTGTTGTCAAGCAGCTTATCTAAATGCGACTTTCTGCGCCTAGGTTTGAGGTACTGAAATACTCATCCCGGTTAGCGGCTGGAACCATCAGTTCGGTCAAATTTCGATCCATCTTTCCGTCTAGTCATCCATCCAGCTTTTGATACAGCTTTCCCTCCGTCTAGCCATCAATCCATCAATAAATTCAGCCATCCATCCGATGTTACAGTCATGCAACCATCGATTCGTCCATTCATTCAGCCATCCATTCTTCGGCCTTCCATCAATACATTAATCAACCTTCTCTGCTTTTATCCAGTCAGCCCTACCTCCATCAATCCATTCAACTATCAATTCAGTCCTCCATCGATACATCCAGCGAACCATCTATTCGGCCATTCATTCGGCCATATGAGTTTGCTCCAGGGTTTTTTTGATCAGAAAAGTGCTGTCCATTTTCAGGAGCAGCGTAAACTGCAAAAGCCCGCTATTAAAACTTAAATCAGAACGATTTTTGATTATGCCTGTGCAGCTTGAGCCCATACTGCCAAAGAAGCCTTCATTCGTTAACTGCATACATTGAAAATCGCAGCTTTTTGGAGATTGACCAAGAGCACTAAGTTGAGACATGTTGACCTCCTACACTCAGAATGCAAATAAATTATTGTAAGAAATCACCATAAGCTATTCGCATCTGAAATCATCGTTAATATTTAAGTGCCGCTTAGTCCAATACTTTCTACTATTTTCACCATCCGTCAACCCAAAAACTACGCCTAAACATATAGAATGATGAGGATGAGGACGTACGATGAGGATTTTCACCATGTTTTAGTGAGTTGAACAATAAAAAAAATTTTAAAAGAATTTGGTCAGCTTACGACCCTTAAACACATTCAAACTCACAGATTTCAAGAAGCCAATGATGAAGCAGCAGTACCCACTGAAGTTTTTACCAGTAAATCCGCCAAAAGCAGAACTGAGACTCCCCACTCATCTAGATCCACCCTCGCACAAATAATATCTGACTACAAATAATATCTGACCTTTTAAACACTTTTCTTAATTGGATAGAACCGAACGTCCTCTCCGTGATGACCCTATCGCCAAGTGCATCTTACTCCTCTACGTCTTTTAACTGTCCCCAAAACCCAACTTCCAGGGGTGCTGAGCAGACGAAAAGCTGGATGAAACTCAGAAGTTAGCCAAAAAGGCTGGAAGCAAGGGAAGAGCCAGATAAAATTCGAGAAAAACAGAGGCCAATGACGCACAAGAGCACGATGAAGCAAGAAGCTGGGAATGAGCTCGCTAATTCCATGGTATCAGAATTCAAGAACTAAAAGAGATTGGATTAGGAAGAGAGCTAGATGAAGCTCATGAAATGTCCAATAATCCAGAGCCTCAAAGCAAGCGAGGAGCTAAATAAAGCTAGCGATGAGCTCGATATAGATCGGCAAGATTCCCCAGAGAGTCAAGCAATCGAAGAAATAGACGAAGCTCAAGAAATGGTGAAGACGCCAAAGAGGCTCAAAGCGAGGAATGAGCTAGATAAAGCTCTAGAAAAGTCAAGAACCCAGAAAGCTCAGAACATAGAAAAAAGTAAAGGCACTCGAAGCAAGGAATGACTTGATGAGCTCAAGAACAAGCCGAGAGCTCGAGAGTCAGAACTAGCAAAGAGCTGAATAAATCCCATGCCATAGCTATGAATTAAGAGAAGCTCAAAGCAATCGATGAGCTCAAAAAATTCGGGAAAAGTCACGATCACCAATTTTTGTTCATGCAAG